TTTTTTATTTGTAACTTTACATTTTTGGGGGGGAAACGTAATTTTTTTTTTTTCCCCACTCAACTTTATTGCTATCACATACGTTAGCTAAGAAAACCCCCTTATGTGATAGCAAAATATGTGACAGGTCCTCTTTATGGAGACATTAGGGTGTCTCCAAGACCCCTAATGTCACCTAGGACCCCCCTGAAGAAGCTGATGAAGCACAGATCTGCTCCATCAGCTTCTCTCCAGCATCTGAAGCCGGAGAGTGACACAAGAATGCGGAAGTGATGTAATATACAACACTTTCGCATTCTGACAGCGGAGAGGGGACCGGAGGGAGCTCGTGTACCGACCTCCCTCCGATCCCCTGTGACAGAGGCTGTATGCTGGTCCCAGGACCAGCTTGACAGCGGGAGGGGGGAGCCGCAGAGGGGGCGCACATCACGGGACCTCATACAAGCGATCCGCCGGCTATAGATCGCTTGTATATTAACGGGCATCGCTGCCTCTTTTCAAATAACGGGCATTTCCCGCTTGCGCCCGGCGGCGCGCACGAGGTGGTGTGGCTGAGCGGACGTCTAAAGACGCCCGCTCAGATCTAGAGAGCTCCTGGCCGGCCGTTTTTTACGGCCGGCTGGGAAGTGGTTAAAGGATTTTATCAAAAGTCTGTACTTTTTAATAACTATTTGATTTAACCCTTCAGTGAATGGGTAGGGGTACAAGTACCCCTTACTCATTCACAAGGGGGGGCATCTGGGTGCCCCCTTAATTAAAGGGGTACCCCGATGCAAATAGGTCCCCTTGCCTGCAGGGTTGTGAGGAAGAGGCCCTTGTCCCCATCGGCATGGGGACACCCTCCCAATGCCGAGGGCACGTAGCCTGGTAAGGCGCAGGGAGGGGGGTGCTCGATCGTCCATCCCCCCCCCCTTCCTGCCGGGCCAGTGCTCGGATCAAGGGTCTGGTAAGAATGTTAGGGGGGGCCTCATGTTTTGTTTTGTTTTTCCATTTTTTGGGGCTGGGGGTCCCTCACAACATTCCTACCAGACCTAAAGGGTCTGGTATCAATTTGGGGGGAACCTCACGCTTTTTGTTTGTCGCCTTCTGCAGACTGTAAAAAAAAAAAAAATTCTAATGTCACTGTGCTGCAACGAAGTTTCGTCCAATAAACGAAATTTCGTCCAGACTCCCGCTAGCAAATTTCAGAGTTGGAAATTCGGATTCGTTTACATTCGTTATTTCTGTAATTCGGAATTCGGATGCATCAGAATCTCAGAATTTCCAAAATTTCATCCGAATTTCGATTCGGAACAAAACAAATGGTACATGTCTACTTTGTATCTCTCTATCTCCCTCTGATCAATGTTTATACGCAATGTTACTTTCATATTTGTATCACTCCCGGGATCTCCCATCAGTGACCAGCAGCCCCCAGTTGGCCATCGCAGTGTCACTGATACAAATGACCATCCCGGAGCCTCATCTGTTCTCCTCATTTTTGGGGTTTCTTCATTTTCCATCTCTCAGCTCCGATCTTCTGTTTTCTTTTAAACCCATTTTGCTTCTTTTCTGCATATTAATCATAACAAAAATTGTGGTTGGGATTTGTTGTCGCTATGAAAGTTCTGTCCACATTTCTGATGTGTCTCCTCTCCCAGGTCTCCTGTGTCTCCTGATCACATCCGTGTCATCCGGACCGGTGTATGTGCGGAGCGGAGCGGACATCACGGGATGTGATATGACGTGTCCTCAGGATGATGTTACTCTGGAGCTGTACAGACATTGCGGAGGGAAGGAGAAGACATTGCTGGAACGTCACTGTTATTACAACCACACTATATCACATGACCCCAGACTTCACCTGGACACAAGGAGCGGCTGCTGGAAGCTGACACCGGCCAGGAAGGATGATTCCTGTGTGTATAAGATCTGGTGTCACTGTGATTCACAATATCTAATGTCCTCTACAGACATCCGTGTGCTGGGTAAGAGGCCGTATCCTGCACGACACAACATCACACTTCTCTCCGCACTGCATTGTACTCTACAGGAAGACGTGTGTCTGTTATACAGGATGAGGGAGAAGAGTAAATGAGGGGAAATGAGATCTTCATGTGACGGGTTTCCAGTATTGCCCCCTGACCATTACCCATCTGTCCTACGCAACATGGCACTGGAGGGTTGCGTGGTATAGAGTATATAGCTCACAGCACAATGTGGAGGGATATGCAGTATATAAAATAAAGCACAATGTAGGGAGTGGTATGAAGCATATAATATATAATACAGCATAGTGTACAGAGGGGAGTGGTATGGTGAATAGATCATACAGCACAGTGTAGGGAGTGGAGTGGTATGAATGAAGATAAACAAAGATAGACATGTTTGATGTCCAGTCATGGCTTGCTCCATAGATGCAGTACAGTCAGGGCAACAATCAGAAATTTTTCAGGCTCCTTACACAGCTTTAGGCCTGCCCCCCCTGCAGAATAATACTACCAGCTATAGAGGAGTATAAATCCCAGCAATACATAATACAGCAATGCAGACTATCACCAGGTATAGAAGACTACTAATCCCAGCAATACAGTATACAGCAATGCAGAATAGCACCACTTGTAGAGCACTGCAAATCAACATTTTAAAGGTTTCCACCTAATGCCTCCTCCTGCCCTCTGAGCTCCACCTCCCCCCCATTTGGCCCCAATTCATCCACACTGGCTGTAAGTCTGTACCTGCTTGCTTCTGCCAAACCGCCCACCCCACGACAATGTTGGGCCCCTATTCAGCCTTGGGCACCGTCTGCTGTCCTCCAATTTAAAAAGTAAAGATCCACAGTGTCTCTGTCATTGTTCAAGCATCTGATCATATTGTCTGCAAAAGTGTCCCCCCCGAGGGGTGGGGGGGACGACACGACTGTTTGCAGACAACGTGAGCATCAGTCAATGTTTGTCTCTCCCCCCTTCTCTCTCAGCGTCAGTTGGTCTCTCTCTCCCCCTTGGCGTCGGTCAGTGTCTCTCTCTCTCCCCCCTCTCAGCGTCTGTCGGTGTCTCTCTTTCACCCCTTCTCTCAGGGCCGGTTGGTGTCTCTCTCTCTCCCCCACCCTCCTCTCAGCGTTGATGGTGTCTCACTCTTTCCCCCTCCTCTTAGCATAGGTCGGTGCTTCTCACTCTTCCTCCCCCCAGTGTTGGTCCGTCGGTCAGCCATCTGGTGTCTCAATTTACTAATTTTCTCGGTCTCTCTTACAACTAGGGATGCACCGATACCACTTTTTTAGGACCGAGTACGAGTACCGATACTTTTTTTCAAGTACTTGCCGATACCAATTACCGATACTTAAAGGGACAGGTCACATTTTTTTCTAAAGCAATACAAAATAATGATTTTAGGTCAGTTTCTTAATATTATGAAGAACTGTAATTCAAAAGACAACATGAAAATAAAACTTTACTTTGCTTAAATTGTCACAAAGTTGTATTAAGTACTCATCGAAATTTCTCATAACATGTTTGTTAATTAAATATTACACAAACAATAACATTAATAAGAAAGGTGCAATACAGCAATATATAACAGTATAACAGTGCACTCACTGTGTACTCATAGAGAGGAACAGTATGGGCTAGATTACAGTTCTTTGTCAAGCTTTACAGATGCTCTCATTACATTTCCAACCCCATTAAAGTCTATGGGGTGAGAAATGTGAAGAGAGCATCGGTAAAGCTTATCAATCAAGTGTAATCTAGTCCTATAATTAATTATAGGAGGAGTGAGTTAACTTCTATAATTTTTCTAAAGCCAGTGGCAAGTTTTTTTTTAAAGAACAGAAGCATCTCTGCTTGGTCAGCTAGAAGTCTGTTTCTGCTATCAGTAAGGACATTTGATGCAGAGCTGAACAATCGTTCACTTTCCATGCTACTGCATGGCGCTGAAAGATATATTTGCGCCATTTAATCCAGAGCCAAAAATCTCACTTTATTAACTGCCCAGTACAGGAGGGGTTTATCTGAACGAGGGCACAGTGATCTCTCCAAGGTATGCGTCAAGCTGTATGTTGGCAGCCGTTGGAGCACTGGTTCCAGAACTTGACGTTAATTCACCAGAAATTTGTGCAAAGACACCGTCCACACTTGTACTTGGCTTGTCACTGCGAGGTCATTTGGCAGATGGTTCCCCATGCATCTCGGGGGGGATGTCGGGGGTTTCCTCAGAGTTTTTCTGCAGTTCGAGCATCAACATTTCTTTCATATGCCTGGCATTCTCAGCATTAGAAACGAATCGCTCCTTATACATAGAAAGAACAAAGCAAAACAACATTGATGAATGATAAATAATTAAGCCCCTTACACCAGTACTGGTTGTACCCCCCTGATGGTGGCCCTGAGTACAGTCACAGAATGTTGTCATCCTTGGAAAGTTACTGGCAGGATCACCGGGTGTAACTAAATGGGAACCCCTCCTGCCAAAAAAAACAACTAATGCAGCCGCCACTTAAGGACTGGTAATCTGCAATATATTCAATTTCTGTTTTGTGGTTTAGAAATGTGAGAAAAATATAATATACATATGCAAAATTAAATAACTGTATGTGGGGAAAGGTGCTGCTGGTCACTTGACTAAAGATCAGTGCATATACAAGAGCTAGCACTCTATTCCATGTATCTGGGCTCTGTCCCGGTGACACATGACTGATGGTGATTGTCCTTCTGATAATTCCAGATCCGATTCTCATCTCCAACATAACCGGTAACGGCAGCCGGCTGGGTCAGGACATCGCTGTGAGCGTCCAGTACTCTGGAGAAGAGAGCGCTGTGACCTGGGAGGTGGACAGGGAGCCTCTTCCTGAGAGATACCGGCTGATAGATGACAATAGGACGCTGATTGTCCCCAGTGTGCAGAGAGACGACGCCGAGAGGACATTCCGGGTCAGGATCACAAACCCGGTCAGTGAGGAGACCCGGGAGCACCGGCTGGAGATCAGAGGTAAGAGGGGCAATTACTGGGGTAATAATCTGATCTGTATAGAAGAAGGATCATAATGTGACACAGAATAGTAACATTGTATCTCTTCTCTGCTCTTCTAATGGAGGAGTAAGCCTATGACACACTGCACACGAAGGTCCGCACAAACAACTGCTCCTCGCTGCTTCGCGTGCAGTGTGTCACAGCTTTTATACAGGTGAGATGTCACATGACCACCGAGAATACAAACTGATACATTGTATATTTATCATACATGTCTCTAAATTGTATACACTGTGCATTTAATTCACTTTCTCACAGATTTTGATTCACTTAAGACGCTTCTCGTTGCTGGTCTCGTTATTCGTGTCTCAGGAATATCGGCAGCAGTGACTTACATCATATATCGGGTAGGTAATATTTCATCTGCCTCTCTATAGTACATTATGACACTGATAATAAGAGGAGTCGGTGTGTGGATGTAGAATCCCATTTCTCATTATCACCACCTGCTAGCTGGGCTCACACTGAATGTACTAAGGCAGGGGCCCCAAACTTTATAAACAAAGGGCCAGTTCACTGTCCATCACACTGTATGGAGGTCAAATTGTGGTCAGTAAGAATAAATAAAATGTCCCGGCATCCGTGGAAGTAACAAATGGTCCTCCAGCAGTGGCCAGTGGGAGTAATAAATGTTCCTAAAATGGTGGCCAGTGAGAGTAATAAATCTCCTGTGTGTCTGTCCCTCATTCCACCTCCAGTGTCTGTCTCTCCTCTGACCATCCTTCCACCTCAGGTGTATCTGTCCCTCCTCTGTCCATTTTTCTGCCTCAGCTGTCTGTCTCTCCTTCCTGTCCCTTCTTTGACCAGCCTTCTGTCTCCAGTGTGTTTGTCCCTCTTCTGACTGTCCTTCCATTCTTGTATCTGTCTATCCTTAAACCTCCAGCTTGTCTGTCCATCCTCCCATCTATTATGTGTCTGTCCCTCCTCTGTACATCCTGACTTGAGAAATCCTGCTGGGCCTTTGAACACACACGGCCGGTTTTCACAAAGTCAGTTGCTCTTTACACTGATATACTTTATCTTTAGTTTGCAAATATTTTAAATAATCAAGTTAAGTGATGGGGAAAAGTATGTGAACCCTTTTATTTTACTTCTTGGAATGGAACCGCCCTTATTGAGAATAACCTTAACCAAATGTATTCCGCACCTTCGGAGTATAAGAGGCATTGTGCTCATTGCTATTTACAAAGCTGTATCAGCTGATGGTTGATGCATCTGGAATGTCTTTCTGGAGCAGCTCAGTGTAGATCACAGCACAGAGTTTCAATGGGCCCGAGATCAGAACCATAAATATTTTTTTTTTTAAATAGAATTTCTTCTGTTTTAGTTCCTCTGTTGATTTACTCTCAGGTTCTGAATCCTTATTTTTCACAAACGGATATTTGGATGAGAGGCGCTCACACACTGCTGATGAGTTTTCAGGTACATCTGGGAGTGTTTTCTTTTTTCTATGGTTGACGCAGAAGTCAACAAATGCCAGAGTTACTTCTATCAATTTGGTTGTTATTCTGGATTTCATTGACTCCTGTCTGAGGATTGCAGTGTGCCATCTGTAGGTGACAGAATCTGTATATATTTGTACATTTCCTGTCTGTGGACTGATGAAGGTCTCTCGTATTTGAGATCTTCTGTAACCGTTTTTTAGTCTATTTGAGCGCCAATAAATCCCTCAGATGTACTTTTATAATGGCAGCAAGAGCAAACACGTTTAACACAAGTGAAAGTGGCCAAAAGGCTTTTCACTACTAATGCGAAGTTGTTCTCCTCTGGTCAGCACTCCATTCCTCGATGGGTGCTTATGAAGGGTGGATGGGGCTGGCTGGACTATCTCCATCGCAGTGCAGTAGATGACAGGTAGGTAGGCCTCATGGTCTCTCTGGCGCAATGGAATGGGTGTGCCATTTTGCACTGCGACAGAATTATCTTAATTCTATTAATTAGCTGACTCCAGTTTTGCCCAAGGTTCACATACTATTTCAGTGGCCTTGATTATGGAAACCATTTGTTCACTAAAGATCTAGAAATAAATATGAAATAAATATTCTGCATTTTGTGTTTATTGATTACTGTGATAAATGTGAAATAACATTTTAGGAGTCATTATTACAGAACATTTCCTGTCATTTCTCCCACATTGGTGTCCCATGGTTGTCTGTTGGATAACTCCGCCCCCTTACACTGTTCATTGGGGGGGTCATCTCCTGTGTGGGGGGGTCAGGAAGCCATCCCTGTTTGTACATGAAGAAGCTTCTTATAGGGGCAGTGGGTGGATGGCTGAGGGCTGAATACAGTGTAGACAATGAGGTCATACAATGGAGTGTATGGAGGTGATATATCTGACCTTTTATTCCGGGTTTTATATTCTCAGAACAGTTTCTGGAAAAAAAAGAAGAGCAAACCAAATGACATTAAGAGCTGGGCTCTGACCACACTGCAGGATGGATCTTTGCCTCTCACCGCCCAGAATGGATCTCTGCCCTCTATAAAGAATGGATCTCTGCCCTCTATAAAGAATGGATCTCTGCCCTCTATAAAGAATGGATCTCTGCCCACTATAAAGAATGGATCTTTGCATCTCACCATCCAAAACGGATCTCCGTCCTCTATAAAGAATGGACATGTGTCTATGACAGGATATGGACCAGTAGCTAATGACCTGGCAGATCCAGATATTGATGAAACTGAAGAGAATTTATAGCTTGAAGATGATAAATTATTGAAGAATTTTTTTAGGGTCAACACTGGGAAATGGTTACACATTTAAAATTTGGCTCTTCCATGATGCAGTACCCCTGGCAGGTGGCATAGCCCCACCCCCAGCTCAATGGGTGATGAACAGAACACCTAATGTAGAATTAAACTCTCCTTTGTTTTTGCATATATCTATTGCAAGCAAGCAGTAGATCAATGGAAAAATTACCAAAAATGTAAAAACGTACCTGTGTCTACGCCGCTCGCTCCCGTCTGAAGATCTGAAGCTTCATCCTGCACGGCCGCTGGAGATGGTGCAGGCGCATGCACATGAGAGATCTTCGGTGGGGAGAAGAGGAGACACGCAATGGAGCTGAATGCACGCAGCCCCCAGAGAGTGCACGTTGTACAGACACCGTGGGACAGGAAGAGACAGGAGTCTGCGGTGGATCAGAGATCGGCGCCAGCGCTGGAGGGACTCCTGAGCAAAGGCGTGCGAATGTCTGACGCACGGGAAGTGACGCTCCAAACCTTGATGAGTTGGTCTATTAAAATGGACCTGCCCTTGTCACTGTGCTGATGGTCTTTCAGCTGTGTGTTCCTGTGCCCGTTGCTCTGTTGGATTTCCTGCCTGTACCTTCTTGACCCGGATTGTTGGACTCTCCTTGCTTGCTGCCTGCCCCTGACCTCGGCCTGTTTCCTGGACTTGCTTGTTGCCAGCTGATTCTGTACCTTCGCTGCCCGGCTGGTTCTGATCTTTGGCTATCCTTTTTCTATGCTCCTGTTTCCTGATTTGGCTTATCCGCTCCTGGACATTTCCTACTTAAGTGATTGATCCCACCAGTGGCACTCGTGCTACCCGCCGTCCTTTCACACTCTGTTCCCACCTCCAGGGGGTGTAGGACGCGAGAAGCAAGAGAAGCCTCCTCATCTGTCGATCTCTGACCATGTATGCAGGGCTGCCATCAGGGGGGGGTACGTCCGATACTCATGTAAGGGGCCCAGGCAGCCTGGGGGGCCCGCCCGGGACCCTTACATGAGTATCGGCCGACAATGAAAGGCAAGGAGGCGGCCAGGCCCCCGCAGCGCCCGAGGACTGGCTCTAGCAGTGCAGGGCCCCAGCATTGGCGATCCAGCAGCTTCGAGACAGGCTAGGGTCCCATCAGCACCGCTGCTCGTCTGATGTGGGACCGGACATGTAAAGCCATGTAAGGGGCCCCAAAATTTCTGATGGCTGCCCTGCATGTATGTAATAGCCTGTCACTGAATAACAGGCTATTACATACATGGTCAGAGACAAAAGTCTTGCGATGGTTGTCAGGTGTATGGGCAGCTTTAGCACTTGCCCCTAGAGGAAGAACTTCTGTATTACATCTGAATCTGGGCCATACATACCGTGTTTCCCCGAAAATAAGACACTGTCTGATATTTTTTGGGGCTCAAAAAAACGCACTAGGTCTTATTTTTTTAATGTATAACAATCCAAAGTCAACGCAAATCCAAATGAAAAGCATCCAAAACGGCAAAGTTAAGAATCGGGTGATCAGGGCAATCAGGGGCGCCGTACCTTTCCAAGAGCAATTTGGTAACCAATCGCTGGCCAGAATGGGGGAAGCGCGCTTTCACTATGGATTCCTCACAGGCGGGGGGTGCATTTGGTATCACTCCGCCTGTGACATGCGCTGGCGCTATAGAGGAGGCATCGGTTTATGCGGCTCTGCTCCCTCCGCTGCCGCCTCGCTTCCTCTAGCGCTGGCTTCGTTGGCACCGCTGATTCTCTCCCGCGGCTCTTCAGGTTCCCCCCTTATGCCACCACCGGCCCCGGGGATGGTCACAACTAGGTCTTATTTTCGGGGGAGGTCTTATATTTGAGCAATTCCCGAAAAAAGTACTAGGTCTTATTTTCAGGGAAACAGAGTATCTGCCATCCTGGCTATACCCAGACATTTCTATCTGCCTGCTGCCACAATATCAAACAGAGCACTTAGTTCTTGGTGTGAAGGGACTGTGATAAGATGGGGACTGTGTAACGTTTATCTTCTATTACCAATCTTCCATCTGGAAGTACTAGGATGCGATGACACCGGAGTCCCCCTCTGTGTATGGAGGAGGGGTGCTCTTCTATTCTACATAGATGAATGGAGATGGACCTCTACTCCTCGCTGCTCCTGATTCTTCTGCTCCGTGTCAGGAGATGGGAGATGTATCAGGCGGCCATCATTGTCTGTATAGGAGGAAACCATTATTGTATTACAAAGTATAAGAGGACTTTTGCTGTAACGCTCCCCCCTCCCCCTCCCCGGTATCTGTAGCTGGAAAGATAATATAACTCCAGACCTCAATAAGCAGCAGCTTCTCCTTGTGTGTCC